TTGTTAAAAAAAAAAAACTATAAACCAACAAAGAATTCCAAACTTTATATATAAAAAAAAAGGTATGTTCTCAGAAATTAATAGGAACTTTAATTTGTTGTATTTGATAATTTTATGGTCAAGTCTACTACTTTCTTTTTCAAGTTTTAACTACATAAATATGAATGCTAATTAAGTTGGCCAAACACGGTAACTTATGTTAGAGAAAATGAAGTTGTTCATATAATATTTTATTAGAGTTTGCTTAAAATATCAGATTCTTAACTATTATCCATTTATTCGACCTAAAGGGAAACGTACCGTTTAACCTATCATATTTATTAATAACACTAAGAAAATAAAAATAATCGTATAAACACAAGCCCAATGGTTTACAATTTTGCTTGGAAATGACTTCATTGGGAAGATTACAAGTGAAGCCAGTTAAGAATAATTAGTTTTCCCCTTTCAAAGTTACCAATTAAAATGGAAAGAAAACCTAGTTTTTTTTTAGAATTAATATAATTATAATGTATTAAATAGAACCGTTGATGGTTGACCAGTTTGAGTTATATGTTCAAATTACTAAAGAAAATACGAATGGTTATCCGTTATTAAAAATAGTGAAAAAAAAAAGAAAATAATAGACCCTACCTCCTTTTTTGAATAATAAGACTAATAAAAAAGTAAAAATAAAACAAATTGTCATTGAGGATAATTAAGACACTTATGTCCGATTAGGAGTTCTTAAGTTTGAATCTCCCGCCACAATATATACTTAAGAATATATATAAAAAAAATACCAACAAATTGTTGTAATGGCAATTTTGCCACCTAAGCAGCCAAGTTGGTCTTTGCCACATCATCATTATGATTTGACCAGATAAGCAACCAAATGGCGATTTATAGTCAAGAGTACACCCCATAATAGGAATTAGAAACTAATCAAATTGACTCTATATATCTATGAACCAAAAAATTTACTTCACGTAAAACTTCTGTTCCAAGGTATATTTAAATAATATGTTTTATCCAACAACCTTTTCCGGACTAAATTAATAGCCTTTGTGCCATCTTTCAATAATTTTAAAATTTTAATATCTACGGCGTTAATTAATTCAACCCGCCTCAAGAAATTGAATCTTTTAAAAATTCAATTCAAAATTACACATTCTACATTTTAACAAATGTGTCGTGTGATATTTGAACAAACTCCCAAAAAATAAAGAGAAATTTTTGACGTAGGGATTGATGTTTAGGATTTTCTGCTAACCCAATGCAAGCGCATGTTTGGCCAAGCTTCGGCCACAAATGTTCTTTATTTTCATCAGTCGAGATCTAAGTTAGCACTAGGAAAGATCTCTTTTTTCCCTGCGGCTGCTTCCGATCTTATAAGGAGCAGAAACTTTACATTTAGCATAATGTCTTAGATAATGTAAAAAACCTTTGCGAAACTATATAAAAAAATCTTGGTTTGTTTAAGTGGGAAATTTAAAATATCATTGGCAAAACTGGGAAAAATATATATATATAAAAAAAAAATCATCAATGTGGGATGGGATTGAGTTTTGATGGGAAATGTGTTATAGTGGGAAAGGAGTGGCAGTAGTGTGTTGGTGTGGAAGATATAAAAATAGTAGGAGCCAAAGATTTTTATAGACACAAATAAATATCCTGCCACCCCCGATCACGATGAAGTAATCTGCCCAATCCAAATCCAAACCGACTTTACTTGTTTTTCTTTTCAGGTTTCATACGTGCCTTTTAGCTTATGCCTTCAACATTACCAATTTACAAATAAACCTACTTCTTTATCAACATATTTGGTTGTTTCCAAGGACAATACTATCAAGTTTAAAGAATGTACTGTCTCGTCTTTTGTCTAATCCTGAATATTGCTTAAATATGTTAAATACAACAGTACCTGAATGTCTGCTTTGAGCATGATTCTTACGATTTTGCTTTGATTTCACCTAAAATATCTTAAACCAATGGATATGTTATTCAATTCTTATATATTCACGATCTATTCTTTGTTTAGCCAATGCGAGACTTGGGTCGCATTCCCAATAAAATAGTTACATATTAAGAACTACTCCCATTATGATGATAGTAAATAGTTGTTGATGAATGACCATTTTCCCACATGCCCAACTTGTAGGTTTAGATCAAGTTGTTTTGTCCGCCTTTGACTTTTTTACTAATTTGATTTTTCTGGTCCTTAACAAATTATTTAGAGCTCGAGCCTGCCTAAGAGTTGGGTTGTATAGTTTGAATAACTTTTTTCTCATTTATAATATAATCATAGATATGCTTTAAAAAAATTGGGTTTAGATGGCTAAGGTATCCGTTAGCTTCTCCATAAAGAAAGTAGCTGATGAATAAGAATATTATTGTACCCCTTAAGCAATTTAGCTATCATTGCATGACAACAAAATGAAGCCATTTCCATTTTCAAACCACTCCATTCTTCCTTTCTCATTCATTCATTCTCTATATCTCTCTAAATCTTCCTCAAAAGAAAAAGAGAGGAAAAAGAACATATAACTTTTCGAACCACTTTTGAGTTTTGTGGACACAAGAATAAAAAAAATCATTGTTTTTCTCCAACATTCCGTTCTTTGTTTTTGTCTTCTACTTGAAAAGACTGTCCAAAGTGGGGCCCACTGTCGCCGCCGTGGCACCTTGGATGTGACACTTGTCTCTCACTGGTACGACGGCACCGCCTGTACGACTTTTTTGTTTGGGCGACCAGAATTTTTTTTACCGCTCAATCCTCACTATGTTTAACCATTGGCTCGCCATTTGCCACGTGTTTGCATAAAAATTATCCACCTGGACCGCCACTGACGCCAATCTGCGTCAGCATCTTCTCCCCATTTTTATTTTTTAATATTCAAATACTTTTAAGATGCTTTTGTTGGTAATTTAAAAATAAAAATCTGAAAACAATGGATAACAAGTCGTTCTTCAAATATATATTTGATAATTGATTTGAAAATTAAATTTAAATTTAAAAAATTATTTAACGTGTGTTTAATAATATATTTGTAAACTAATTTGAGTTCCCAACTAACCATTTAGTTAAATATAAAATATTATAAATTAATTTATCAATATTTTTGTTATAAATTCTGTATAATTATTATTTTACAATATTATATAATTTATAATATATTATATTTTACATAGTTTAATTTTAACAAAAAAAAATGAAATGAGCTTATAACATGAAACAACATATTAATCAAACGTTTTTATTTTTTAATATAATCTACATTTAAAGTTTCAAATTTAAAATCTGAAAACGTCGAAAACATAAAAGGTTAAAGGTTGTTTTTAAAATTTCCACTGTTTGAATCACATCATTCAAAAACACTTTTTAAAAATAAATTTGTCAAACACATATTCACTAAATCGAATCCGAATTTTTTCGGATTGCAAACCAAATAAGCCAATAGTTGTAAATTTCAACAATGTTTTATGGAATTTAGTTATAATAAAATTTCAATCATTAATATCGGTATTTAAATATTGTTGTAGTATGTCAATTGAATTGAGTTATTATAATATAATTTCATCAATGAAACTGATCTAAATTTAGATCAATATTGTAATTTTTACCCTCTATTCAATTTCCACTTACTCGCCCACTATTTTTTTTTCTATAAAAACAAATGTAGAAACTCRCTAATTTAGTTAGAAACAAGCTTGGGATAAAATTAAGCTTGATTTGATACACAAATTCGACTATTAAATAACTTCGTCAACAAATTTCAACAAAAAAAAATTCACTATATTATCATTTTTGTCTGAACCCTGAAATTAATACAAAATATACTTTTTATAATTCATTTGATATATGTAAATACCTTTTTAAATAAAATTTGGATAAAAGTTGCAACACTTTATAAAATAAAATTTATGAGGCATGTTGAAACATTTATCCAATTTTAATATTATAATTTGATTGAATGGAAAGTTTATAGTAAAAATTGATATACCTAGAAAATTTAGTGTTAAAAACGATACTTTCCCAAAAAATACATTTGTTCATATAATTTTACACAACATCCCTCTGATTCTTAAATATTAATGGTGAGCAATCTTGTTCCTACCGAAAAACGATAATTATCAATTTAAACCTAATTAATTAAGATTTGTTCGATTAAAAAATCATGTATTCTAACCGTAACACGGACTTAAAAAAAAATATCGATGATTGATGAGATTATTCAAACTTTGGACTAAGCTATCATGGTCTTAAACTAAATCGTGGAGTTTATGGGGCTTCCCTTCACCCACCTGAAACCCAGGCATTCAATTCTCCAGCTTTCGCAGAGCTCAGTAATGGTGATGAAGAAGCTCCCACCGATTCTAAGAAAGCTTCAAACTCCGCCGCCGGCACCGCCGTCTCCATTGCCGGACGCAATTTTACCCTCTCCGCCTCAAGCCCTTCCCGCCCCTCTTCCCAATCTCACTCTTTCTTCCCCCCACCATTACACTCAACTCCTCCATTTCCTCAAAACCCACCTTTCCCTCCCCTTCACCCCCAATAATCTCCTCCATTTCCTCAAATCCAAGCTCCATTTCCACCCCAAATTCTCCCACTACGATTTCCACATCTTCAATTGGGCCTCCACCATCGACTCCTTCCGCCATGATCACTTTACCTTCGCATGGATGGCTAGAACCCTCGCCACCACCGATCGATTTCCCGACCTCAAGTCTCTCCTCCAGTTCTTGGCCTCCTCTCCATGCCCCTGCTCCGACGGTATTTTCTCTTGCCCTCAAACGGAATCCATTTTTCAATTTTCCATTAGTGCGTTCTGTAGAGCTGGGAAATTTGATGAGGCTGTTGTCGCTTTTGAGTCCATGCGGAGACTGATTGATGGGAGGCCTAGCGTTGTTGTTTATAATGTTTTGATTAATGGGTTTGTGAAGTCTGGAAGATTTGATAGGGCTCTAGGGTTTTATGATAGGATGCTTAGCGATAGGGTTAAGCCTGATGTGTATACTTTTAACATTTTGATTAGTGGGTATTGTCGCAATTCACAGTTTGCGCTGGCTCTAGAATTGTTCAAGGAGATGAGGGAAAAGGGTTGTAGCCCAAATGTGGTAAGTTTCAATACTCTGATTAAAGGGTTCTTCAGGGAGGGAAAGTTTGAGGATGGGATTGCCATGGCTTGCGAGATGATACAACTGGGATGCAAATTCTCTAGTGTCACTTGTGAAATTGTAGTGGATGGGCTCTGTAGGGAAGGCAGGGTTCTTGAGGCGAGTGAAATTTTGATTGATTTTTCGAGGAAGCGAGCATTGCCTGAAGACTACGATTATTTTGGTGTTATTGAGAATCTTTGTGGGGGAGGAAATGCAGGCAAAGCTCTAGAAGTTGTGGATGAGCTGTGGAGGGGAGGAAACGTTCCCAGCATCATTGCTTCGACCACTTTGGTCGAAGGGTTGAGGAAAGTAGGGAGAGCGAATGAAGCATTGACTGTAACAGAGAAGATGCTTAAAGAAGGTATGGTTCCTGACAGTGTGACATTTAACTCTCTTCTCCAAGATCTGTGCAATGTGAAGAAAACAGAGGAAGCTAATAGGTTGAGATTGTTGGCTTCAAGCAAGGGGTTTGAACCAGACACCAAAACATACTACATTTTACTTTCTGGCTACACCATGGAAGGCAACAAGGTGGAAGGGGAAAGGCTTGTGGATGAGATGTTGGACAAGGAGTTCATACCTGATATTGCAACATTTAACAGGTTGATGGATCAGTTGTCGAATACATGTAAGAAAAGATTTACACGGTCTCAAAATCGTTATCCATTGAGTTCGAAGTTGTTAGCAGAATGATCAAACAAACATTAACTGAGGCAACTGCTTCTCTAATTCTATGGATGATTGCTGATAACACAGATGGTTTTCCAAGTTTTGGTGATCATATGATTTACTATAAAGGAGGTGATGATAATTATAGAAACTCATTGAGATTGTAGAACCTGTATTGATATATGCTTGAGCTTGACATCTTCATTATGAAAAAGTTGGGTCTAGAATGTTTCTCTATTGATTGCCAGAATTTATGGTGGGGTTTTGTTAGGGTTTGAAAGAATGGCAGCACAGCTACCTAGAGATTCATGCAAGAAGAGTTTTCTGATACATTGATCATTGATGCTGTGTAAAGCCTTGTTACAGACCACTTCTTTCTTTAGTTTGAAGGAGATACAAGACTGCTACCATCTAATCAAAGTTATGAATATAGCGACGACACATACGAGAACAATACAATGGCGACTATTCGCCACTCATTCCATGAAGGAACATATTAGTGTTGTAAAGATTCATGTGGATTATGATATGCAGAGCATATGAGTTCACTATGACCAAGTTCTACATCAAAGTGAAAGATCAGTTCATTCATATTTCTTTATTGTTTGAGACCCACAACTTTTTCTTCAAAAGATTTTACACTTTCAGTTGCACCTTATCATTTTTAGTTGATATACTTATATTACTGTGAGGATCAGCCTCACTTTTGGTATTAAAACGTAGAATCAAATGCCCTTGAGCAGTACAAAGCCGACCCACCTATTCGAGAGGGTGGGTATTCTCTCCCTAACCTTTTCACAGCACTCAAAACTAGGATGATCTCCTCCTACCTTTTCCTACCCTTTTCTACTACACGTTGCCCTATTACACGATTTAGGTCCCACCAGCTATAGGTCCCACTACCCAAATCGTTAGCCTCTTTATTCCCCCATCATTCTATTGTACCTAGTACAATTCCCTTTCTACCCCTCCTGTGATAAGTCTTCACAATGGGAGGCCTAACAACTACCTCCCCTACCTCCCCTTAAGCTCCACCTTGTCCTCAAGGGGGAAATCTGAAAACTGACAAGGGGGAAATATGGAAACTGGTTCTGCATATCAAAGAACGTTTCCCATGTAGCTTCCTCCTCTGGCAGGCCTATCCAACGGATCAATGCCTCTGGCAGTCCCTTGTCCCCGTTGATTCCAGTGGCAAAGACCTCTTCTGGTTCGGCACGCCATTCCCAGTCTTCTGTGAGCTGTTGGGGAGTCGGGTGGATTGGAATGTTGGTTCCCACAGCCTTTTTCAGTTGAGAGACATGGAAGACTGGATGGATTACTGTTTCTGCTGGTAGCTTTAAACGGTATGCCACTGTTCCCACCCTCTGGAGTATTTTATAGGGCCCGAAGTACTTGGCAGCCAATTTCTCATTCCTCTTCTTGGCCAAGGATTTCTGTCGATAAGGTCTAAGCTTGAGGAAAACCATATCCCCGACCTGAAATTCCACTTCTTTSCGGTGAGTGTCCGCCTGTTTCTTCATCCGGTTTTGTGCCTTCAACAAATTGTCTTTCAAGGTTGCTAAGGCTGAGTCACGATCAGCCAATTGCTGATCCAATGTGGCGTTAGAAGTCTTCTGACTACCATAAAACAAAAGCGGAGGTGGGGTGCGGCCATAGACAGCTTGGAAGGGCGTTGTGCCAAGCGACTCATGAAAGGTCGTGTTATACCAGTATTCAGCCCATGACAACCACTGCCCCCATGTCTTAGGTGCTTCACTGCAAAAGCAACGGAGGTAGGTTTCTAGACATTTATTCACTATCTCAGTCTGTCCATCCGTTTGGGGGTGGTAGGCCGTGCTCCTCTTCAATTTAGTACCCTGGATACGAAAGAGCTCGATCCAAAAATTGCTGAGGAAGACCTTGTCTCGATCTGATATGATGGATTGGGGAAATCCATGCAGTCTTACCACCTCGCGAATAAAGGCTGCAGCCACAGATTTCGCTGTGAAAGGATGCTTGAGGGGAATGAAATGAGCATACTTGCTCAGTCTATCCACCACGACGAATATGGTATCCTGCCCTGCAGACTTAGGTAAGCCCTCTACGAAATCCATAGTAATATCCTCCCAAATCCGCTCTGGAATTGCCAAAGGTTGTAATAACCCCGTCGGTGCCGTGGTCAGAGACTTGTTTCGTTGGCAAATGTAGCACTCTTCCACGAAACGTTTCACATCAGCCTTCATACCTTGCCAATACAGCTCGCCTGATATCCTCTTGTAAGTCCTAAGAAACCCCGAGGGTCCTCCCATTATGGAGTTGTGATATAGGTGTAGGATAGCAGGCTTCAGTGAGGAATGACTGGAAATGACCATCCTATTCTTGTAGTGGAGCACACCATGTTGTAAACTGAAGTGTGGTGAAGTGTGGTGGCGTATGGATCCCTGCTTGCATATCAGAAATGCTTTTGGACAACTCCGGGTCTGCCTGCACCTCTGCTTTCAAAATCTCTACATCTAGTAACGATGGCACTGTCATGACCGCAAGGTGTGGTCCTATGGGCATGCGCGACAGGGCATCTGCTGCCTTATTTTCCAGGCCTGGCTTGTACTGTATCTCAAAGTCATACCCCAAGAGTTTTGAGACCCACTTCTGGTACTCTGGCTACACAATTCGTTGCTCCAACAAATACTTCAAAGCATGTTGGTCCGTACGCATAACAAATCTCTGTCCTAGGAGATATGGTCTCCATTTTTGAATTGCCAAGGTTACTGCCATTAGCTCCCTTTCATAAATAGATTTTGCCKGCCCTTGTCGGGAGAGTGTATGGCTAAAATAGGCAATGGGGCGTTGCTTTTGCATAAGGACCGCTCCAAGGCCAGTTCCTGAGGCATCCGTCTCTATAACAAACGRCAAATTGAAATCTGGTAGGGCGAGTACTGGCAATGTAACCATTGCGGATTTRAGCTTTTGGAAAGCTGTTGTTGCCTRTTCACTCCATTCAAAAGCCTCCTTCTTGAGAAGTTGGGTGAGTGGTGCTGCCAGACTACCATAATTCAGTACAAATTTGCGGTAATACCCGGTGAGGCCCAAGAACCCTCGCAGCTCCTTTACATTAGTAGGCAYGGGCCRTTGAAGCATAGCYTGGATTTTCTCAGGGTCGGCTTCCASACCTTCTTCAGACACCCAGTGGCCTAAGTACTCAACCTTTGCTTGAACGAAACTGCATTTCTTAAAGTTAACATACAATGAGTGATCTCGTAAGAGGTTGAAGACCACAGTTAAATGAGTAATGTGTGAGTCTAAGTCCGGGCTATAAATCAGAATATCATCAAAGAAAACCAAGACAAACTTACGTAGAAACGGTTGAAATACTTGATTCATGAGGGCTTGGAATGTAGCTGGGGCATTTGTTAACCCAAATGGCATGACAAGGAACTCATAATGTCCCTCGTGCGTTCTGGATGCTGTCTTTTGCACATCTTCAGGAGCCATTCGAATCTGATGGTATCCGAACTTCAGATCAATCTTAGAATAGACACGTGATCCATGTAACTCATCCAGCAGTTCATCTATAACAGRGATAGGAAATTTGTCTGGTACTGTGACATTGTTCAGGGCCCTGTAATCGACACAGAACCTCCAACTCCCATCCTTCTTCTTCACCAATATCACAGGACTAGAGAATGAGCTCACGTTTGGTTGGATTATCCCCTTTTGGATCATTTCCTCAATCATTTTCTCGATCTCTGCCTTCTGCACATGGTCATAACGATAAGGCCTTACATTCACTGGGGGAACCCCTTCCTTTATGCGGATCCTATGATCAATCGCACGCTGTGGGGACATCTGCTATGTACCTTGAAATATATCAGTGTACTCATTAAGGAGCTGATGTATTTCGGTCGGTAGTTGCACATCATCTCTGATCTCTAGATCCCCCACAGTTTCTACCCCATGAGTAGTTAGGGCCCGCAACTCCACGAAGTACCCCTCATCCGTGTCTTGCCAAGATCTGGAGAGTCGTTTGAGTGACACCTCCATTCGCGCTAGTGTTGGATCGCCCCGTAGAAAACTTTTTTTACTGCCCCTCGTGAAAGACATGGTCAAGGCCGGCCAATCGGTCTCCATCTTCCCCATGGACTGGAGCCACTTCATTCCCAATATCACATCCAAGTCGTTTAACTCAATTGGGAGAAAATCTTCTACAACGGTCACCTCTGGCAGCTCCATCACCACTCCACAACAGATCCCATGCCCCTTAACCGCTTCTCCTGATCCCATCACAATACCATAGTTATAAGTTTCGGACTGAGGAATTTTCAATTCCTTGACCAGCCTTATGGAGATGAAATTATGGGTGGCTCCACAATCTAGGAGGACCACCACCTCGCGGCCTTGCAAGGTCCCTTTTAGCTTGATCATTCCAGGCGTCGTCAACCCTACTATGGTGTTCAAACGGCACATCACTGCCTTTCCCTTTTCCTCTATCCGCTCTAGCTCTTCCAACTCCGGTTCTACTTCCTCCAACTCGGTCTCATCTCCGTCGTGCACAACGATCACACGTAGTTGCTGGTTTTTACATCGATGCCCCACGGTAGACTTCTCTTCACATTTGAAGCAGAGTCCCCTCTCTCTTCGTTTACGATATTCCTCTTCCGTTAATCGTTTATAGGTGTGCTCCTTCCTGGCCACTGGAGTTACACCGGGAGTCGTTGCCGAGGTTGGTTTGTTCAATGTTATCTTGCTAGTGGGTTGGGCTTCAGTGATTCTCACAGTTGGCTTCCCTCCCATGGCACCCGCCTTCGCATTTCGATCTACCGCTCCTTCCCCTGCCTCCTGGACCGCTGTGGCTATGTCCTCGATCAAGAGAGCTCGCTTCAGAATCTGTTCCAATCCTATGGGTTCCGTCGACAGTACTTCCACACGAACCAGAGGATCCAATCCATTTAAGAAGGTACACTCCAATACCTCGTCTGTAAGGTGTGGAAGTGGCGCCGAAAGAGCTTCGAAAAGCTCTATATACTCCGAAATGGTTCCTTCCTGTTTAATCGCCAACACCCGCGCACACTGTCGTTTCTCTTTGGATTTCTGAAATCGCAACAATAACCGTATCCTCAAATTTTCCCAGCTGGTGAACCTATTCCTCTTTTCATGATAACGGTACCACGCGAGGGCTACCCCGTCGAAACTAATCACAGACACTATATGCTTCTCCTCCTCTGATAGCTTGTGAATCTCAAAATACCTCTCAACCCGTAAAAGCCAGGAATCCGGGTCCGGACCCGTGAAGATTGGCATCTCCACCTTCTTGAATTTATTTCGATCATACCCGTTTTCTTGGATTTGGATAATCCTCGTCGCCTTTGCTGTCTGTTTATCTTTTTGCGTCGACGACTCTCCCAACTGCGATATCGATGAAACAGTACCACTAGTGACGTCTGCGATGAAACCTTCCAACATCGTTTGGATTTTATCCGTCGTCTTCTATTGCTCATCTACCTTTCCACAGTGTTGCCATCACCACCTTGAGATCGACAATCTCTCTCTCGATCGCTTCGCAACGGGTTCCAGTTTCTTCACAGTCATCCTTACGTCTTCTTCTTCTTCTTCTTCCCAGGTATCGATTTGCTCTGATACCAATTTGTGAGGATCAGCCTCACTTTTGGTATTAAAACGTAGAATCAAATGCCCTTGAGCAATACAAAGCCGACCCACCTATTCGAGAGGGTGGGTATTCACTCCCTAACCTTTTCGCAGCACTCAAAACTAGGATGATCTCCTCCTACCTTTTCCTACCCTTTTCTACTACATGTTGCCCTATTACACGATTTAGGTCCCACCAGCTATGGGTCCCACTACCCAAACCGTTAGCCTCTTTATTCCCCCATCATTTTATTGTACCTAGTACAATTCCCTTTCTACCCCTCCTATGATAAGTCTTCACAATGGGAGGCCTAACAATTACCCAATGTTATTTTGTTGTGTTATTTGTCATGGTTAGCTAAGAAAAAGTTTACTGCTATTGAATTAAATAAATAGAGTTTATTGTCAATAATTCTTCTTTTAATTGAGAGTTCTACCAGCATTTTTAAAAGTAGTTAGTAGCATAAAAATGAAATTAGGATACCTTTAATATGGCTCATTCTTATGTCTAATGCAAATAAACATGATGAATAAGTAGTGTAAACAATATCAAAGAATATCATTCACTTTTCTGATTTTCGATCGATTATTTATCATAAAATGAATGAGCAAACTCGTAACTAAGACAGCCTGTGAAAATAAGAACATTTGATTGATAATCTTCACAAATCAACAGGAAGAAAACCACAACCAACGCTGGAATGCCACCCACCACCATGCTTATGAATTAAGGTGGGGCAAAATCCAACAGGTAAAACTTATTCCAAAAAGATGAATCAGATGACTACTTGTTTGTGGCAACAAATTGTTCATAACTAAATCTTCAGGGAGAATATCATTCTTCTGATTGTCTTTGCCCCAAAACTGAAATATCTTCATACCGTTTCTGCAGCATAAGGGATAATACATTCAATATTCAAAACAAACGTCCTGAAACAATCAAAATCTGATAGTTAAAGGTCGAGTGAGCTTTAGGTTCAACTAAGCACATCGGAAGCTACATTTTTCAATATTATGCGTGCCAACCAGCACCTCAGGTCAGAAGCATGTTGAGTCGGGTCGAGAAGACTGATGGACGGAATAAAACATAACTAATCACACACAGACGGATGAATCAAATCTAAACCTAACTGGAAAATCACTCATGAAATGAAAGTGATGTACACTTCATTTCCATAGTTGCACAGATTCACAGAAGCTTCAATTTCTACTAGCTAAATGTCACATAAATGCAGATCCAATGTCCAAAGTTTGACAGAACACCTAAGCTAGGAGTTCTATTTATGTTGCAACATGTAAAGAAATGGAAAAATGATGAGTGATAACCTTAAAACGATCTAAACAAGAGCTTCTAAATGAAGAAAATCAAAATAAGGAAAGTGTAAGTTAGTATGTCACACCCCAAGATTGTTGTGTTCCCAGTGCTTGTGAACTCCGTAATCAACAGCCTGCAGCAGGAGAACCAAATTGACTAAGAAGAGGTCCAGAGTTGCGGTATCAACTATTGACTAAAAGAGTATTTGGACAAAGTAGAAACACAATTATTCAACTCAGTCCACAAAAAATGGTACATTGGCCATCGAAGATTTTAAAAATTCTTAAAAAGATATGGGAATATGTAGATCAGGATTATACAATGAAACTAATTAGAAGTCGTAGCTTAGTACCAAGATACTCACTAACTAATAAGAAAAAGCATACTGCCGTCAATTCATTAAGTTTACATAAAATAAATGGTTGAACAAGGGTATATCATTTGAGATAGCCACGTCTTGTGGTTGTTATTCATCATGAACCATCTAATTGAAAAGCATGATAAAATCTGAGTTATCTGTGCATATAGTCTGAATTAGACTGAGTCACTCACTTTAAACATTTTTCATACTGTGTATCATTTTCGTCTTGTTACATGGTGAGAGAGATAGATACGATGACTCACCAAGTTTTGTAACTATGCTAAGGAGTTGGATGATGCTCCTTACACAACCCACAAAATGTAAACAGTTAATTATAAAAAATAACCATACAAAAACCAACAGTCACTTTGTAGCAAATAATAGAACAGTCGATGAAATTCAGAACTTTTAGATGAAATACTTCAACCCCTCACCCCAAAACTTTACACAACTCATATGGTGGGTACAAAATATGAATCTAGGCTTAAAATAATGAGGATACTATTAGATTAGAATCGTTAGAACTTTGAAATCCATATAGCATACTCAATCTCCAAATCCATTTATCCCAACACAACCACAGAGTCAATTACAGAATTTCTGGTAGGAGCAACATGTAACCATCCAATTTCAGTTCTTAATCCTTTTTCCCCTTTCTCTGCAGTGTAGGCGTCATGTCAAATAAAAAATGAATATGAAACATAATAAATCCAGTTATATTCAGCTTCCAATATTTCTACAAAAAGAAATGGTTCCTACATCCAAAATCAATTAACACGACGATGTGGTCTATTGCCCGTTGAAATTGCATAATTTTTTCTCATTTCTTTGAATTCCCCAGCAAGAAAATTGTTGGAGGGAGAAAAAGAAAGGCTCCGTAAAGCCTGGTCCTTACCCGCTCTCCAACAAAAGCACCGGCGATTATGAAGGTTACATAAACAGAGTTCCGGCGCATAATTACTCTGTAAAGCCATTCAAGGAGGCCTCCTCCGCTCCTACGAGCTGCAGAATCCATGGCGGCGTTGTATTGGCTTCAGCTTCTCCTCCTGATCTACGCAATTCAGATCGTATTGCTCCCGCGCCGCAACGATGACAGACAATTGAACGGGAAAGTTCTTCACTTCTCTCTTGGTTTTTGATTGATCGGTTTGATTCACCTGAATTACAAACCGAACCGGTTATTGCGGTTCGACAACGGTTTTTTTAGTTGGGGAAAGATTAATTATAAAGATAAAATTGGACAAAAACATACTTTTAACATTCTTTTTGTCTTCCTAATTTTATTTATTTATTCGTTTTTTTGATACAACATGTTCGGAAGGGGATCAAACTCATCACTTTTTAGTTTGAAGTATATATCAATTATCCTAAGACTTTGGCTTCCTAATTTTATTTATAAAGATCTAGTTTTAGTATTTTTAGTAATATAATTATTAATTAAGTATTTGATATCGTAAATATCTTTCATTTTTTATTTTTTGAGTATAACAAATATAGAGATGAGGGAAGGGTATATATGGTCAGATTGGTTTTCAGGCCAAAATTCTTGTCGAGAACTCGATCTACCAAATAGGTGAAGCTTTTGTTGATCGAATCGATGGTGTCAGTCGGTCAACTTTCAACAAACCGACCTTTATTTTATTTTATTTTTTTTTACATTTTGTGTTTTTCGACAAACCTCCAAATTTGAATCCAGCTTGAAAAGAGGGCTATGGGGGTGGGTTTGCAATGGATATGAACGACAAGGA